ACGGGTTTTAAATGGTAAGCGGTATTTAATTAAGTTTATCTATCTCATCTCAACAATGATATATATGTTGTGTTTAACATTGATGTGCAAGGTCTGTGCAAATTTATATATAACGTAATTAAATAGCATCATTTTACTTCTTCTCACATAACAAGTTCAAATTATAATGATATTTACCGGCAAAATTATTGCAAAATCACGTCTTACTAAAATACCGATATTCATCTTAACTCATTTTAATAAGTTGAAGGATAAAATAATAAGTATTTTATAGCACGCATAGAAATGCAATGTTTGAACTTTTTTTTTTGGAAAAAGTTTTATTATTAAGGTCAATAAATACATGTGGTCATTTTTTAGTTTTGCATTTTACAAGTGAATTTAGTTTCTCTGCGTTTCTGCTCTAATGTGCAATGTACAAGTAAGTTTGTATGCTAAGTTTACGAGGCTGATGAATAAACAATGTAGTCTTCCTTTTTTTGAGAATGAGAAAATTAAAAGACTAAAGCTAGTAAAGACACCGTTTATAAATTAAATAAGACGATCATGTTTTATTCTTAAAAAATGACTCATCTATTCTTATTTTCAAAATTTTAATCAATTCATTCTTGTAAAAGGACTAAAAAGGTCATATTAATTTGAGAAAGAAAGCATATACTTGATACTATTTCAATTTAGAAGAGAAAAACTTACCCCACATATGACAAAAACTACGTGTGTTTCTCGAAATATGACTTATATCCTTTTTTCCTTATATAATGCAACGTAGCGCGGCATGCATTCGTGTCATTGCGAGTTCTCTTTTTCTTATTTCATTTCGCATATGCTTAATCATATATTGGGAAGGAACCATGCATTGTCAATCATATTTTGAGAATCATCATGTTTTACTTCTATATTAATATTTTTCCATTTTAGAACTTTGTTTAATTGGACCATAATATAGAGTAATAAAGTCCGAACATGCATCTAATTAGTATCTATTGTCATTTAGCTAATTAAATACTTAACAACTTTTTTAGATTTGCCGAATTCATCCATTCACAATTTCAAATCCATTGCCATGGAGCGACGACCGGAGAAAACTCACATCAGTAATATACTCGTCATTATTTAAAAAAACTATCACCACCATATTAACAAATTAAACTCGTTAGAATTTGTTTAGCATTACATTGGGGAACAAACTTAATCATCACAAATTTATGATAAGAACTAGTGCTTGAGCACGCGATTTTAAATTTTGATTAGTACAATGTCCATTCAAAATTTTAATGTAGTTGAGTATGGTCACGTTCACTCTTCTTGTCATCTAAGAATTCCAAATTAATTTAGATCATATTTATCCTACGAAAACTATTTAAAAATTACCCCTATTAAGAGGTGAATATTCAATATAACTCAATTCTATAACTTAGCCATAGAATAATGAGGACATTTGACTTTGCAACTAGGCGTTATTGAAGTTTATTTGCAATCAATTTTCAAAATGTTAATGTATGCACTTCACCAACCGAAAATGTGTGAAAGAAGGAATTAAGTCGAATGATTTTATCATATTATGGGGTGCGCATACTAGGTTTTTGAAAATGGGGTACATACCCGCACGGGTAGCTCAGTTGGTCGAGTGGTGGGAGATTTGGAACAATGGACCAAGGTTCGAATCCCCGCAGCGACCGGGTGGAGGTCACAGAACCTGAAATAAGGCTGGGTCTCTAGTGTGTACAGGTGTATGGGCCTACTGTCATTCTGGTGACTGAGTCACCGTGACTAATTTAACCTCCACACCATCTTGTCGGGTCGGAGTGAGGGACTCATGAGGTGGGTGGGAGATTCCACCTTTTGGTATAGTACATTATTGTTCGAAACATGGGGCGTAAAGTAAAGTTCCATGATGCGGGATCTCATGCAACTTGCTGTGAGTACGTACCTACACCCTTGATGGAATCACTCTAGTCTCTCATGAATTCAAGAGAGAAGAAACTAAGAAAGTACTTGAAGATCATCATGGTGTTTCCACCCGGCTCCTACGAGATCACACTAGCTTTTCGAGGAACGGGCCAAGCTTTCATGAGATTTTAGTTTTAGAGAACTAGAAAACCCTTGATAGACACTCAATTAAGAACAAAGAAAATTATTTTTTGATGCAAGATGTCTAAAAATACAAGAGTATATTGCATATTTATAGGTGAAGTTTTTGCCACTTTTAGTCCTCCCACTATTATGTCTTTGACACTTTTTGTGCTCAACTTTGATTTTTTATTTCACTTTTAGTCCTTGATTATTGTGCTAAAGACACTTTTGGTACCCGTCTTTGAAAATTTCCATAGTTAGTCCTCTGACTTTCATAAAAGTAACATTTTTTGTCCTTCAACTATTACTCCCTCCGTCCCATTTTACTTAGACAATCTTGACTTTTCAAGTCAATGGAGTCTAACTTTGACCGATTATATATTTATATAGAGAAAATATTAATAATATAAAAATGATATGAAAATGTTCTTTGTTAAAAATACTATCATAAAAGTATAAAATTATTAAATTTTGCATAAATATATTAGTTTAAATAATTGGTCAAAGTTAACCATCTTTGCCTGGAAAAGTCAAAGATGACTAAGTAAATTGGGACGGAGGGAGTATAATAATGACATTTTTAGTCCTTAATTTTTTGTGTCAAAATCAAAGTGGAAATACTAAAATAAAAGTGTCAATTTGATAATACTCTGGGGACTAAATGTGAAAAACTTTGAAGTCTACGAGTGAAAGTGTATCTAGCACAATGGTCAAAGACCAAAATTGAAAAAATTAAAAGTCGAGTACCAAAATTGTCAATGACACAATAGTCAGGGGACCGAAAATGACAAAAACTCTTTATAGGTGAATAGAATCATCCTATAATAACATAAAATTGCAAATCAGACATGTAAGTAATGGTATTTTTTCATGAATATTATTAAATTAAATTTAAAAGATAAAAATATGATTTGTTTTAAAATTTTCCAAAAAATTGACATATTAAGTGACTAGCTAATTCTCAGTGCTCCATCATGTACCCGTGACTTGTTACTCTGAAATATATATAGAGACTCTTGTCCAATTACTCGTACACAGTTCACAGTGCATGACTAGTCATATTTTTATCTAAAAAATATAACTAATCATCTTTTATCAAGAAAAACTCTGTTACTAATATACATGTCATTTTTCGAAATTAATTATTATCCTAATTAAGGTGAAATAATGGAATTGCCAAAACCAGTAGGAAATTAATTACTATGACTAATTTTTGTTTCCAAAATAGACACTTTCCTCATAATTAATTAATAGGAACGGAAATACTAAGTACTCCTTCCATCCATGAATTATCTTCGAAATGGGGTTTTAACGCCGATTAAGAAAATTGTAATTGTGTGGTAGAGAGTTGTTCAAAAGAAAAAGAAATGTGTAAGAATATGTAACAAAAGGCATGAACCACAATTTTTTGTCAAAAAATAAAAGAGGGATTTATTTTGGGACGGACGAAAAAGAAAAATTTGAAGATAATTAGGGACAAAACGAGTATATTTAATAGCTACAATTATGATATTATAATAATAAAATTTGGACTTTTTAGGGCCCGGTTCTCGAGACTAGCTTCCTGACTTCTTTATTCCTTCTAGGCCTCAATCCGACATTCCGAACCAAGGAAGCCAACTCTTTCTAAGGTACCACAAATATTTTATTTTGGGCTTCTAAACTTTTATCATCTTATGCCATGAATGTAAAAAGTCTAATGAAATGATTCGGTAATCCAGAATAAATGCATTTCTCAAATGGGAAATTCTATTCACACTCCCACAATTACTAATCACAGCCCCAAAATTAATAAAATATCTATCTTACCCTTTTACCTAAATAAACAACTCCTCCCCTGCTTGTGGAGGCAGTGGAGCCTCCACTCGTTCTGACCAAAAGCTGGTATGATAACATCACAGCACGAGATCATTCAAGCCGGTGCACTGGTTCTCCAACGAGAACAAAGGCCAAGAGGAAGGGTGATCGACAGATTTGGCACCTATTGGGAGACCAGACGGCTCTGCCGGAGCAGTGCCCGGGAGAGAATGAGAGATTGCCACCATCACCAAAGAGGGAAAGCCTCTCAGTGATCGAGGAAAAACTCTTGCCCAGGCGGGAGTGTAGAAAATGACCATCCCCTGCTATGGAGAGTGCTGTTCGATGGATGTCTACTTTGAAACGCCTAGAACTTGACCAAATGATGTCTAGTTTTGGGCATCGCAAGGCCATCATCACCGTGCAACGATCGGAGCAGTGCTCTTGAGGATTGCATCAATCTTCTTGAATTTAGTGCGAAGCTTCAAATAATAGGATGCGTAGAGATGGACATGATAGTAGCAGTTTGATATGATGAACCCGTATAAAATTGCAGAATAGAGTAAAGAGCTGTGGAATGGACGATAACGACATCGACCAGTGTTGCCGCTCTTTTGATTTTTTGGAGATTCCATCACTCATTTTAAGAAGTGTAACTGGGAATTAGAGAAATGAGCGTGTGTATGTATTTAGCAAAAATGGGACTATATATAGAATTATCCCTCTCAAATAAATAAACATTATCCAAATTGAGCTAATCCGAACCCTATCTTTTCCCTATAATACGTTGTAGACATGTAGAAAGTTAACAAGCTCAAAAATTCAGACTACAATATTTCCTAATTTAACTCTTCTTTTGTGGGAAAACAGTTTTGTCATGTTTAATATTACCATCATCTCTGAATTATCTTCCAAATGAAGTTTTGCATGAAAATTAAGAAAGTTAGAATTATATGGTGGAAATTTGTGTAGACAAAAAAGGTAATATGTGTAAGAATATGTAAAAATTGCTATGAACAACAAATTCCTTGGCATAAAGTAAAGAAAAGAAGAAATTATTTTGGGATGGATGAAAACTGAAATTTGGAATATAATTTAGGTAAAAAAGAAGTAAAATACGCAAACGAACCCGGGCAAAAAAATGGCTGAACCCTATAGGCGATCGATCGATGTTCTCTTGTTAAGGGCGGCGGTCATTCTTACGCCCTCCTCACCGGGATATCCAATTGAACTCTACTGTGGCTGGTACAGGGCGAGGTGCGACGATTAAAGCGAGTTGGAGAGCAGAGCAGACGGGGCTAGCAAAGTCTAGGGGCTTTTGATGGACGACGGCTGGGGACTACTCGGCGGCTTGTTTCCAGAGGTTTGGGCAAGGGTTGCGTGAAGCTGGAAGATGTTGATTGCTCTGGCGGGTTGCAACAGGTAGATTGGTCTGCAGTGCACGAGCAGAGTGTCCAGCAGCAAGTTCCATGGGCGTGGTCAGCTGGAATTGTCCGGGCCTAGGCAAGCTTGCTACTGTCCAGGTTTTAGTTGATCGTGCAAACAAAAAGACCCATTTTTTTTTATGGAAATAAAATCAAATGCTCTTTATTGTGAGGAAATTCACAGACAGTTTGGTTTCCATGACTGTGTAGCAGTAGATAGTGTAGGTCTCAGTGGAGGTCCGTGCCTGCTATGGAGAGAGCAGGTTGAAGTAACGATTAAGACTGTTGCGAATACCTATATTGATGCTATTATTCGGTTTGGGAGCGATGGACCAGTTTGGTGTTACACCGGCTACTACGGTTTTCCGGAACGTAGTCGAAGACGTGAATCTTGGGAGCTCATACATAGTTTGTCTAGAGCCTCAAATGAGTTGTGGTTGGTAACGGGGGGATTTTAATGATACAATAATGTTTGAGGATGAACGTAAGAGCAATGTCCCTCATTCGCCATGGCTATTGAGGGGCTTCCGAGAAGCAATATGGAGCAGTGGATGAGTGAATGTACCTTTTGGAGGTTATTAGTGGACCTGGGAAATAAGGCGAGACAACCCTAGATGGATTGAGCAAAAGTTAGACAGAATTCTTGCTAATGAGGACTGGCTAACCCTATTCGGAGGTCACCAAACTATGTCATTTGAAGGCCTCACCAATGATCATTTAATGCTCTATATTCAGATGAATAAGGTGAACAAACACAGAAGGAGGAACACGTTCATATTTTAAAATATGTGGCTACATGACAGTGATTCCGAGAAGTTATCCAACGGGCCTGGAATAATTCCCATGACATGCACAGTTGGAACCGATTGAAAGGTTGTGGGACAGAACTGCAACAATGGAGCAAACATAAGAAAATTGGTTTTCAAACGCGGATTGAACTATGTAAGAAGCGGCTGGCGGATTTGAGAGCTGAAGGGGGTAGGTGGAATGCGGAAGAATTTAATTGGGTGAAGGAAGTTTTAGTCTATCTCCTAGAACGACAAAATATATTTTGGAAATGACGAGCAAAAACTTTCTTGCACAGAGGGGGATAGAAACACATTTTTGCCCACAATGCAGTCAAACAAAGGAGGAGAAGAAATAAGATGAATGGGTTGTGTCTACCAAATGGGGAGTGGATGACGGATAGAGGCAGAATTGGTAACATGATACAGGAGTACATTGCTGGTTTGCTCACTTCAGAGTATAGCCGGGGAGAGGGGATCACTATGACTGGTTTGGCTCAAGTGACCCCATGACAGAATCAGGAGCTGATGCGGCCGATTACAACCATTGAAGTACGGAAAGCAGCTTTTGCTATGCACCCGGATAAGGCACCAGGGTCGGACGGGCTAAATCCAACGTTTTCCCAACACTGTTGGGAAATTGTGGGAGAGGATGTGGTTAAATTCTGCCCGACAATTTGGACATCTGGGAAGGTCCCAACCGAGGTAAATAGAACTAACCTTGTTTTGATCCCTAAGAAAGATAGACTTGAGGGAATGAGAGATTGGAGACCTATAGCTCTCGACAATGTGATTTTTAAAATTTTTAGCAAGGTTCTAGCTAATAGAATAAAATTTATTCTCAACGATCTGCTTGCCACGAACCAAAGTGCTTTTGTCCGAGGCAGGTCTATAATTGATAATGTAATAATTGCTTTTGAGTCTTTACATTGCTTAAAAAGGAAGACTCGGGGGAAAGTTGGTTATGTTGCTTTAAAATTAGATATGAGCAAAGCCTATGACAAGGTCGAATGGACTTATTTAGAGGAATTGATGCGCGCTATGAGATTTGGTGAAAAATGGATAAATCTGGTAATGGAATGCACCCCAACAGTGGAATATTTTATTCCTTTTGATGATGATGTGATTGGGCCAGTGGTTCCTAGCAGAGTCCTGGAGTAGGGAGACCCCTTATCACTATATTTATTTATTTTGGTGGCATAAGGGTTTAGTGCACTGATACAGAGACATGAGAGGGAATGAAATATTCTGGGAATAGCGGTGGCACGAGGGGCACCAAGGGTATCACACTTAGTTTTGCTGATGATAGCTACTTATTTTTCAAAGCCAGGGAAAGTGAGTGCACTATTGTTCGAAACATTCTATAGGCTTATGAGAGATGTTCCGGGCAGGTGGTGAACTATAAAAAATCATCAGTGATGTTTAACCCAAATTTAGAGGAGTAAAAAAGAACATGAGTTTGCGACTTGCTAGGGGTGAGAACGGAAGGAAATAATGTAGTTATTTGGGGCTTCCTTCCCTGATTAGGCGGAATAAAAAAGAAATTCTGAGTTATCTTAAGGAGTGTATTATCTGCCGTATTCGAAGCTGGAATAACAAATTTCTATCAAAGACAGGGCATGATACCATGTTAAAAACAGTTATAAAGGCAATGCCCACTTATGCAATGAATGTATTTTTGGTGCCGAAAGAGTTGTGCTATGAAATAGAAATGATCATGAATGATTAATGATGGAGGGGGATATGCCATAACAAGAAAGGAATCATTTCGAAAAGTTGGTAGGGTGCGTGCGCGCCTAAAGAGAAGGGAGGAATAAGATATTGATCTTTAAGAGATTTTAATATTGCTATGCTTGGCAAGCAAGCATGGAGGATAATTAAAAATCCTGACTCCATTGTGGCGAGAATTTTTAAGGCCAAATATTTTCCTAACTCATCTTTTATGCAGGCTAAGTTGGGAAATACTCCCTCATTTATTTGGAGTAGCATTTTGCTGGCTCAGTAATTGATTGAAAAGGGTCTGCGACGAAAGGTTGGAAATGGGCAAACGATCTCTGTGTGGTGGGATAAATGGCTACCTGGAGAGGGATCGGGGTGGGTACGGTCAGCGCCATTGGCTGGGATTGCAAATATGAATGTGGCGGCCCTAACGAATGCAAATGGGGACCAATGGAACATTGAGAGGATAAAAGCAATTTTTTCAAAAGATGATAAAAAGGCTATTTTATCGATACCGACAAGTAGCCAGAGTGTTTCTGATGGAATGTACTGGAATGGAGATAACAAGGGGCTCTACACGGTGAATAGTGGTTATAGGCTCCTCGGGGGGGAGTGTAAGCCAAGAGATTGGATGAGATGGACTAAAATTTAAAATTTACATATTCCCTCAAAAATGAAGTGTTTTGCCTGGCAGTTAATGTCAGGAGTTTTACCGTTGACTAGTAACCCTGCGTAGAAGGAGAGTGGACGTGGATTCAATATGCAAGCTTTGTGAGGAGGCCTAAGAAGCAGAGGAACATTTGTTTCGGCAGTGTAGGGTGGCGCAGACAGTTTAGCAAAAACCGGGAACCCGATTCGTCAGACAGAGCGAAGATTTCACTAATTGGGTTAAAAGTTTTTTTTTTTGAAAATTCGCAGGGTGGGAATTTATGTCACTTTATTGCTACTCTATGGAATCTATGGAAGATTCAGAATGACAAAGTTTGGAAGAATAAGGAAGGCAACTGGCAGCAATGTCTGGAGATTGAATTGGCAGTCCTCAAAGGATGGCAAGAAGCTCAAAAGGTGGGAAGCAGACCGAGTGCAGAGAAGCGACGTGTGCGTTGGAAGAAGCCAGGATCAGGAAGCATCAAAGTTAATGTTGATGCGACACTTGATCTGACAAGGAATAGGCGAGCTTGGGCATGGGTGGCAAGAGACGAGCATGTGAATTTCATTAAGGGAGGATGGCAGACGAGGTAAGACAACTGGACGACAGGGATAACAGAGGCAATGTAAGTGCGGGAGGCCATATGGTGGGTTCAAGCGCAAGGCTGGCAGGATGTTGACGTGGAAACAGATTCCTTACTGGTGGCGTCTGGGATGGCATGAAGAGATGGAGATGCTTACTTTGATACTTTGATAGAGGATATTAGACTCACGTTTACTTCACGGGTTAGTAAACGGTGCTTATTTAGACTCGTGTTAATAAGCGGCGCATAAAATAAGCAGTGTTGTAAACTCATGTTTACTTCAAAGGATTTAAAACACCGTTTAACATTAAAATGTTCAAAATAACCCTATAGGTATATACACACAAACATTCATGAACACAAGTATATAATATAATATGTGGGGTCACCTCGTACGCTTAGTCGCTTACCCACACCCTTAACCCCTACCTCGCCCTGTACCCCCACCCCTTTCCTACCCCTACCCTTACCACGACCTTACCCTCCACCCATACTCCCTCCCATACCAACCCCCACCCTACTCGTAAGGGTTGGGTCGAGGTGGGGGCAGGTGATATGGGGTAAAGGGGTAGGGGTAAGGGGTATGGTCGGGTCAAGGGTGGGGGTGGGGTCAGAGGGTCGGGGTCAGGGGTGGGGTCGATGTAGGGGTAAGTGGTAGGGGTAAAAGGGTAGGGTTGAGGTAAGGGGTACAAATAGGGGTAGGGGTATGGATGGGTGGGTCGAGGTAGGGGCAGGGGGTAGGGAGGGGGTAGGGTAGGGGTAGGGGTCGGGGGTCAAGGTAGGGGAAAGTGGTAGGGTGTAAAGGGGTAGGGGTGAGGGTGGGGTGGGGTAGGGCAGGTGGTGGAGGGTAAAGGGGTAGGGGGTGAGAGTGTAGGGGTAAGGGGGTTGGGGGTGGTAGGTAGGGGTGGGGGTAAGGGGTAGGGTGGGTCGAGGTAGGGGCAGGGGGTAGGGGGGTAAAGGGGTAGGGTCGGGGTAAAGAAGCGGGGGGTAGGGGTGGGGTCGAGTAAAGGTAGGGGAAGGTGGTAGGGGGTAAAGGGGTAGGGTAAGGGGTGGGGGTGGGGTATGGTCGGGTCAAGGGTGAGGTGGGGTCGGGGTAAGGTAGGGTAGGGCGGGGTAATGGGGTAACAATAGGGTAAGGGCAAGGGGTAAAGGTAAGGGTAAATTCGGAAACTGAAAAAGCTTAAAGTGCCACTTAATTAATACCATTGATGTAAAAACGTGGGGGTGGTATGCTTAGTAAGCGGCACTTTAAGCACCTCTTTCGGTTGAAAAATGCTAGAAGTACAAACACATTTACAAAAAAACTTACAAACAAGTGATGTGGCTATTCTAATTACCATTGATGTAAAAACGTTGTAAATGTGTTGTGATGTGTTAAATAATGAGATGATGCCACATACCCCTTTTGTAAGACTTTTTGTAAAAGTGTTTGTACCTCTAGCATATAACTCCTTTCGGTTAGTAAGCAGCGTTTTAAGCAACTTGCGTGTTTACTTCACTTGTCTTACTAACCTAACTGTGACTTTAGCAGCGAAGTAAACGCCTCCCCAGTCTTCGTAATGAAGTCATGCATTGTCAGAGATTCACAAATGTGGTAGCTCATAAGCTTGCTCGGGCTTCCCTTTCTATGTCGGATGGTTATTATTCGATTTGTAGTCCACCTAATTGTATTGTCATTCAGTTGAACAATGATAGTTTGAATTAATGAAAGTGAAGTTTTATTCTCAAAAAAAAATAGGGACATAGGGAGTAGGTAATATTGGTATATAGATGTATTTCATAAGAGGAAGCGGTCCAGCTCACCTGGTCACCGACTCACTCTCATACGTAAGGTCTCGTGTTCGAAACTCCATGGAGGAAGTTTCAGCCCTATTTAGCCCAGACACCCCCTACCGCCCTCCGCTGTCGTTGACCCTCTGGGGTAAAAGAAGAAGAAGATGTATTTCATACATTGATCGATAGATAAACTTTATAATTTTTTACTGAACATACGAAAAATAATTAATCTTTGAAAATAATGAAAAATATATTACTAAAATAAAAGCCGATCGTGTGGCTCTTTCATTTGATTAACTTGAATTTGGGGGTGTTCGGAAAATGGCGTTTCATCCGAAAAATAATGGTTTTATCCCCTTTAGCGTTTCCAATAAGTGAAAACGTTGTTTGGTAAATAGCTGTTCGGCTATAACGTTTTTGAATGAAACCGCTGAAGTGAAAACGCGCGCTGCAATTAAGAGAGTTTTCGGCTAACATTTTGAAATATGCCGTTTTCTGCTAGCTAACTGTTATGGTCAAACAACTAAATTACCAATCATTGTATGAGAACCCGCTAATTTATTCCGCCAGTCAAACCTGATGGCTGATATTGACAACCCACCAACATTATCCGCTAACCGCTAAATGCCAAATACACCCTTTCTTCTGATTTCTTAGGTTGAAAACACTAGGTAGGCTCTAAGTTTTCTTCAACACTATTGGTGGTGCTCATTTGAAACAAATTAAAGGATGCCGCAACATTCGGAGAATAAACAAAGCTTCAAATGGAGGGCAGGATGTGTTTACTTGTATTTATTTCAGTCCCAGACTAGATTAGATCAGATCGGACTAGACATGACTTTAACAAATCAGACCTCAAAAGTGGTAAATTACACAACGGTCAAACATCTATCAGACTAGTTCAATCCAAACTAGACCAGACCAGATTAAACCAAACTAAACTGGACTAGAAAATTTCAGTTAGAACACCCTATCTAATTAATTGAATTAAGGGGATAATAATAATAATAATAATAATAATACAAATGAATGTAATAAGTGAGCTATTAAGTATGTTTGAACGTACTTCGGAGTCGTATGAAATTTTAAAAATAATGAGTTGAAAATAAGGATGATTTTACTTGATTTGAATTTTCTTGTCTGGTCTGATCTAATTTGATCTGATAGATGTCCGGTCTCTATGTAATATACAACTATCAAGGTGTGGTCTGATCTGGTCTTGTCGGGGGACTCTGAGAGTGAAATATGTCCAACTAAAAACATTCTACATGGGCTATTTAGTAAATTTGGATTTAGTGATTTCAAAAGAAAATGTATTGAAATTAGGGAAATCCTATAGATAATAATAATAGGTGGATGGTAGGTTATGTGGCAGATTACCTGATGGATGAAATTTTCAAATATATGTTCACTCGTATCTATTCACAAAATCCAATTTGTCACTATATCCATCTAATATTGTGAAATGAAGAATATGAAGACTAAGCTAGATTTATGAGAGAGATATAATAATAATCCGTAAATTACTTCTTCTCTGTATTGTTCCTTTCTTTTACTTTTCAAGTCATATTTACATTGGCTAGCAGTATTTCTTTTTGAAATCATAATTTGCTGCTGCTTTTGTTACGTTCTACGAAGACGAGGCATGAAGATCATGATTCCGAGTGGTGGATATTGTCCACGGACGGCTCATCCACGGCCAAATCTTGTGGTGGGGGAGTGGTCCTCGCCACGCCCGAAGGCTTTAGGGCCTACTATGCCATCCGGTTCAATTTTAAAGTATCTAATAATGAAGCAGAGTATGAAGCTCTGTTATGTGGTTTGCGCTTAGCGGCGAACATGCGGGCGGAGAAGGTCAAGATCCGATGTGATTCAAAGCTAGTTGTGGGACAGATCAAAAGCGAATTTGAGGCAAAAGAGGAACACATGAGGCAGTACCGCGATGCTGCATTGGAGCTCTTAAAATCGTTCATAGCTTATGAGATTGAACAAATTCCGAGGGGACAGAACGTTGAGGCCGGCATGCTATCCAAACTCAGCGCAGAGACCCCTGAGAGGATCTCAAGGATTGCAAGAGTGGAGGAACTAGACACTTCTAGCATATATGCGTGCCCGGTGCACACCATAATTGCTAGAAACGAGGACTTGATGGACTACCTCATCAAATATATTCATGAAGGAGTGCTGCCTGTGGAGGAGGTTGAAGCCAAGGTGACTAAGATGAGGGCGCCGAGTTATACCATTTTGAATGAGAAACTATACAAGAGGTCTTACAATGGCATGCTTATCAAGTGCTTACGACCAGATGAAGCCAAAGTCGCCATGGAAGAGATACATGCAGGGATATGCTCAGCTCACCAAGGAGCACACACGATGTCCCAAAAGGTAATCCTACAAGGTTTCTTCTGGCCAACCATAGTTAAGGATTGCGCTGAATTTGTCAACAAGTGTGTGGTGTGTCAAGAGTTCCAGAAATCTCCGGGACGTCCAACCACCAACTACACCCCCATCAGCACGGCTATACCTTTCGCAAGGTGGGGGATAGATCTCATTGGTGCCTTACCAAGGGGAACAGGGAGCGTGAGATGAGTTATCGTTGCTATAGACTACTTTACTAAATGGATAGAAGCAGTACCCCTGGCAAGCATCACTGAAGGGCAGTGCAGGAAATTTGTCATGAAACACATCCTTTGTCGCTTTGGAGTATCCCAACAGATCATAACCGATAATGGAAGGCAATTCGGATCATCCGGTTTTCACGAATTCTGTGAGAGTTGGGGGATCAAACACAGCAATGCGTCTTTTGCCTATCTCCAAGCGAATGGTCAAGTGGAGAATGCAAATCGCACGATCATGGACGGTTTGAAGAAAAAACTAGAAGTCGCCGGAGGGGAGTGGGCTGAAGAACTACCACAGATACTCTGGGAATACAGGACCACGCCAAGAAAGGCCACGGGGGAGACACCATTCACCTTGACATATGGTTTCGAGGCGAGGGCGCTAGCAGAAGTAATTCTCCATAGCCGTCGAGAAGACGAATATAACCTCGAGACGAACGAGGAGGTCATGGCGACCGAGCTTCTTTTTATTGAAGAAAGAAGAGAAGCGGCTTTCTGCCGTGTGGAGAACTATAGAAGACAGGTGAAGGGATACCATGATTCTCGAGTTCTCAAACGCAACTTTGAAGTTGGGGACTATGTCTTGAGAAAAAGGGAGGTCAGCAAACCCTTGGAAGGGGGGAAATTTGCCAAAAAATATGAAGGCCCTTACGTGATTAAATCAGTGATCCGTCCAGGGACGTTCAAACTCCAGACACTGAAGGGAAAAGAAATTGATAGGACTTGGAACGCAGAACACTTGCTCAAATTTTACCATTGAAAATCTATCATTGATACTCCACCTGATGATTATGATGTATGGTAACCACGTATGCTGGCAAACGCGGTCCCTTTTTATCCACTATTTTAAATAAGAGGTCTCCTTGATCCACATAAAGTGAATAATGCCAGCCCCTGGTTGCAAAAAAAAAGGTATTGTGTCGTCCAAGGACACCGTGGGTGTCAAACTCACCCAAGGAAAGACTTGTCGGAATTGAAGTCTATATACGCCCATCCATCAGTCCCGTGGACGCTCTAAGGCACGGAAGCGATCGAAGCTGGGGTGATCCAAGGTGAATGACACATGAACCCCTTTATCTTTATCGGAGGGGGGGTCACAAAGCTCCTCATCAGTAGGGGATCTGGAAAAAGGAATGTCCTCCCGAAGGGAATCAGCCACCGAGATCTCGGGATTGGGAATCTCAGGAGGAAGTCCCCTATCGTTGATGCAAGATGTAACAGCCTTATCCCTCAAGATAGGATATATTTTCTGTTGAGTGGCATATATCCCGACCTGCTAGGAGATGTAGCTCTCTAAGGCGAGTTTCTCACGGCCATCTTGAGTAGACAACCAACGCTTGCTAATGTCACCAAGGTGGGCATTGATGTAAGCTTCCCGATCAGACACGAACTCTGAAGAACTCTTGTATGCATCCACGGCCTGACCCCTCGCACTCGCTAACTCAACGGCGTGCATGTCTTTAAGCATCGCGACCTCGGCTGCATGTGAGTCATGACTAAGCTTGAGCGAGGCCACCTCTTTTGCTAATTCGGTAAGTTGTAGCAGCAATTCTTGCGCGCGCTCGTCTTTCCTTCGGTTCACCTCGGAGATGGATGTCAGAAGCTACAAAAAAAAATAGTATCACGAGATGCATAGATGAAAAGTGGCGGGGAAATAGGAATATTACCTCTGCCAGACCATGGTGACTCTTCCTCTCTAGAGCGACGTTGTCAAGTGCTGAAATTTGTTCCTTCTCAGTCGCCGGAATTGTCTGTGATAAGAGTGGGGGCAACTCGAAGTTACCTCATAACCAGGTAGTCATCCCCGTAGTGGGAATGTCACCTATGCTCCGGGCGATGCGAGCTGCGGTACTAGGAGCCTTGCGTTTCGTCACGGATGAAGGCACGATTACGATAGCGTCCTTGCCTTTTGTGACGGAGGGAGCCCTTGGTTTCTTGTCGGCGCGCCCCTGATCACCACCGCGAGGTCCATCCTTATTGAAACTTTGGAACATCTCCAACCTCGACATCATATCTGCAAAAAAAGGAGGTATGCATATGTGTTAGTTAATATATATGCGTGTGTTATCATCTATAGACAAGGTAAGTGTGGACAACCTTGATCCGTGGACGTGGATGCGTGTGCACCCAAACACGGTGACGGCGAATGGAGTCCAACCGTGATAAGGCGGTCCTCGAAAGTAAGAGCAGAGAGGCTATATGGTCCTCCAGAAAGAATCATAGCCGGCCATGTCTCCTGGCCAAACAGAAATTTCGTGTACGAATACTTCTTAAATCAACAATTCAAAGACGATGAAAAAGGTAACGGGGATCCAGATGACACATATACAAATTC